GCAGTACCACAAAGAGCCCTGTGCCCAAGGCAGGCTCTGGGTAGCCCAGCAGTGCTGCACATCCCTGTACAAGCACAGCCCATCCAGAGCTGGATCTGACTCCTGCCCAGTGAGGTGCCAGCAGCCCCATCACTCTCCTGCTCTCAGCCTCTGCCAGGTCTTGCTCTGACCCTTTTCTGCTGCACAGGTGAAGCAGGAGCTCAAGGCCCAGGTGGAGCTGTTCCATGAGCTGACAGGTCACCTACCTCCTCACATGGATGGGCACCAGCACGTCCATGTTCTCCCAGGTAAGGAGGAATCTTCTTCTCCTGCACCAAGCAGGTGAGAGAGTCAGCTCAGAGGGGCCTTGCCCTGGCACAGCTCCCTTCTGGGCAGTAATCCCCACCCTGAGACACCTGCTGGCTGTTGCAGTTTGAATGTTCCCACCTGAGCCCACAGTCCTGCCCAGAGCCAAACTCTGCTTGGAGCCCTGGGCCTTCCCATAGCAGCACCAGGGCATTAATGACAAAATGCCCAAGGTTACACCTCTTCCTCCAGGGAGCAGTAATTCTCCTCAGCATCCTAATTCCATGTACTCACCTACACCGAAGGAGGCAGACCAAAGCCAGCAGCAGCCTGGCCAGTTTAAACTGGAATGGTGGAGCTTGCAATAGCTGCTGGCTCTTTAAGATAGTACAGAACTCCATCCTGTCCATTGTGTTCCCACCCCAGTCCCTGCCTGCAGGTCTCAGCTTTAGAGATGAGCAATGATCTTTTGTTTTGCAAAGTCATTGTGGTACAGAGATGGAAAATGGAGTGAGGAAAGAATCCAGGTTTTCCCACTGCAGTACTGACTGCCTCCAGATAACATTGCTCTGGCTGTACAAGGACTTGATGAAGAATTTGTTCCTGACAGTGCAGCCACCTCTGGTGCACTCTAAGACCAGAGTTGCTCACTTAGAAGGGGGGTTGGACTAAAGGCTCAGTGCTGAAAGGAAGAAAGGCACCTACAGGAGAAGTCCAGGGCAAAATGTTTCTAGTATAGAAGGTGACTCCCATACAGATGGATTTCAGCAGAAGATAAACCAAATGGAATTTTATTTTCTTAAATACAGAAAGGAAAGAAGCCTCTGTGCTAAGAGCTTGCAGGGGACACGAGAAGCTGTTTATCCAACTCCTGACTGCATCTCTGGTTTTGCTTACAGAGGTCAGGAATGTGTTTGCAGAGGTGTTAGAGGAATATGGGATTAAGTACACACGTGTCCCCATAGAGCCAGGCCTTCATAACTGTGACTGGATTCCACCATCCCTGATGGACTTTTACCTGGGAGTAGAAGAAGATTCCTTCAACACAGTGGATGTGTTTGCAAAGCATGGAATAAGGTAAGACAGGTATTACTCATCCTTTTTTTGTAGTAAAACATTAAGATTGTATCAGTTCCTGATAGCATCTTTCAAAAATGGAACACCATCTTTCTCTTTCCTCTTTGGACTTAGAGAAAGGTTCAGGAGGAGCACAGAAGTGCCAGAGGCACAAGGGCTTAGGAAGTTTTGTTTGAACAGAGGTGAGTCACCTTCCACTTGAAAAGGAATGTTCTTTTCAGGGTATGCTTCTCAGCCTTTCTAGTGAAGCTTCCTCAGCCTGGCATCTTGAATGCCAGGAGAAATGCTGCATCAATGCTGGAATTTTAAAAGTATTATCTAAGGAAAGCGTTTAAGAACTAAATTTTCATCTTCCTGTCATAGCAGATAAAGGGTTTTAAGTAGCAGGAATGAGACTAAGTAGAAGCAGGTATTTGTTAAGGGGAAGCAGTGAGCTCTGAGAGCTGGCAGTACCACAGCAGGTGATCACTGCTGTGAGCAAACAGCCTTGTCAGTGTCCTGCATCTCAGGCCAAACCCTGAAAGCTCAGCCCTTCCCCCAATAAAATCCTTCTCTTAAAAGCTTAGACAGTTTTTTATAGGTTAAAGGTCTTTCACTAGAGACCCTTGCAGTCACCTGTCCTTTGGGCCAGATGTCATTACTTCCTCAGTCTACTGGAAACATTATCTTCTGGGATTTTATTTTTTGTATCAGTGGTTCTGAACACCAGCAGATATTTCTGCTGGTATTTCTCCATTCTCAAGAACAGCTGAGCTGGGCTCTTCTGTGATCATTCAGGTAAAGACTCTAGCCTTGATTTCTTCTGAAAACATTTTCATTCTGCCCTCACATGCAGTGGCTCAGCTCTCCTGGACTCATCCAGTTATTATGGCTCTTTGGTATATTCTGCCAGAAGGTTGCTTTAGCTGGGTGGTTGCCATTTTATTTCAGTCACTTTTGTTTCTACTTAGCTGAGGGTTATTATTCAGGATTAATTTATTTTGATGGTGTGGCATTTCTCAGTTTAGTGTTGCTCTTTGTTTTTGGGACAATAAAATGCACCTGTAAGCTCACAGATGCCAAACACAGTGCTGGGGCTGTGCTGGGCCTTGCTGTCCCTGCAGAACTGCTGCTTGAAATAGGATCCTGGTTTCAATCAGGAAAAGTTCTGGTTTTACTTTTGTTTATCTGGTTTTACTTTTGTTTATAGTTAAAAGATTTTTTAAACTCCTCCCAAGTTTATATCTTAAATTTTCAGTAAATTTTGATTCCTAATCCACTGGACATAACCCAATTCTCTCCCTGCCTCTAGCACTAACAGCAGTGTTCCCTCCTCTGGCTGCAGGTGGGCAGACATTTACATAGGCCTGAGCACCATGGGCAGGAACATGTCTGTCAGCAGCATCCAGAGTGCCATCGACAGCGCCGTGCTGCAGCCCCCGGCCCGGGCACCGCGCAGCGGCACCGTCACCATCGAGCTGATGGTGCACCCTGGCTACCCCAGTGTCCCCCCCGTGGGCGGCTGTGGGGAAGGACCCGATGATTTCTCACAGTCCTGGGAACGCCTCCATGAACTCCAGACATTAATTAAGCCAGAGCTGCAGAGTCATTACAAAAGCAGGAACATTCAGCTGTGTTCATTCAAAGATCTTTAAATAAATGAGCAGACATCCATCCATCCATCCATCCATCCATCCATCCTCTGAAGACATGCAATTGATAATGTCCAGAGAAGCCAGATCACTGTTATCAGTGTCACAGTCCCTGTGACAGGAGGGAGTTCACAGTCCCTGTGAACAGCTCACCACCACCCTGTGAGCAGCTCCAGGCAGTACCCCAGAGCCCCCAGTGCCAGTTTTAAGGCCACAACATCTGCTCCAAACGTGCCAAACTCCTTCTGTGACACCCCCTCCACAGTGCCCCAGTGCAGCACAGGCTCCCAGGGCTCAGCTCCTGCCAGCAAAGGAGCAGCATGGGGACAGACTTGGCTGTGAGACACTGCAGCACAGCCCCCTGAGGGGTCTGATCATTTCTCCTTTCAGACCTGACGGCAAAACAAGAACCCTGCTGGGGAGTGGGTGCTGCTTTGGAGCACCCACTCAGTGCAGGTTGCCCACAGGAGGCCTGGCCACCTTCAGCATTTGGCTCTCTGAGGGGCAGTGCCTGCCCCTCCACTTGTACCTGCTCACCATGGAGAGGGCTGCAGGGACACGTCACCCCCAGAGCCTTCCTCTGCTCAGAGCACTCGGGTCACACATGGCCCTGTGGGGTCTGCAGCCACCTTAGCCACAGGAATTGTGTCTGCCTGTTTACGTTGCCTCTTGGTGTCAAACCCCCCCTAGGAAAGTAACATCAGCTGCAGCCCTTTAGGAGAGGCTTCTTATTTTTTGGATGACTTTGCAGGAGCAGCAACTGTTGACCCATCTGCTATTTCAGTAACTGCTGTGTGTCAGAGCAGCAGCAACTGGTCCTGCACCACCCACTGCCCCTCAGGACAGCCATAAGCTGTGCCAGCCATGACCATGGCTGTGAGTCAGAAGGTCCCTGAATTTGTCCCTTTTGTTCCTGTCACCAGAGCATTCGAACTCCAGCAAGTCCCAGTAGTGCTGATACGTTCTTAACTGCAGCCCTATCATTCCTGTAAGGACTTTCACATGGGGAAAAATTCTCTGCACAAGAGTGATCTATTTAACGTAACTGGTTTTGTTAACTGTATTTTTTAATATAAAAAATATCAGTTTCACCATTATTCTTTTAAATGAAAAATAAACTCAGATCTTTTCTATGGCAAAGCTTCAGGAGGCTTTTGGGTTTAATTAAGTCTGGTGAGTGAACTAAACCCACTCACCTGTCTGCTCCCACACCGCTGGAAGGGCCTTCCTTTCTATCATTAGTGGGAACTGTCTGAGCTTTCCTGTAACACGTCATGAAGTTTCTGTCCTGTACAAGTAGAAAAAACATCAAGGATGCTGTAGAAAATATTTTTCCCGATTATTTCCTATATTATAGAAATGCCTTAGATGTCGGAGGCGGGGCCGGGTGAGAGCAGGGCAGGTGTTACCCTGGGGATGCCTCGGCCCCGGAGCCGCTGCCGGGGGCCCCGGGACAGCCCCGCGCCCGGAGCGCCCGCCCCTGCCAGCGCCACCCCGCGCCCCCCGGGCCGCACTGCAGCCGCTGCCGGAGCGCAGAGCTCCGTCGGGTACGGATGGAATTGTCACCGCGTCCTCATGAATACTTTTAAACCTTATTATAAACTGTTATAAACTGCCTCACGTTCTAAGCGCTGGACTGGCTCTGATCGCACCCATCAGGACGTTACACACCTGTGGAATTCTGCATGCATTTCCTCGCAGCTGAGCACTGAAGACCTGGGGGCAGCTTCTACCCAAGCACCATACTGTGAAAAACAGATTTTGTAAATTTGTTATTTTTAAATGAAGAGCATTAAACCCCAAATTTACGTTTAATTAGTGAAATGAATAATGAACTACTAAAAGACTATTCAATAGGGAACCTTTCAATCACATAAAATATAGGGAGATAAGGAAATTTCTTAGTTCTGTGAAAGCTTTAAAGACAACCCAAGTTGAAATTAAAACACTACTACAATCCCAGTTAATTCCCAGACTTCTGTGAAAATAAAACCATGCCACAAAGCCTTTGAGAGCAATTTTTATTAGGGTAGCAGAATGGACTTGCAGAAAGCCTATACCAGTACTCCTGGGTGTAGTTTCACCAGTGCGCTGCTTTCATTGTGGATGTTCAACCGCACGTTTAAAATTCAGCATGGCTTAGGGAACCAGAGAGAACAAGAGCTTGATTTCCTGAGTTATCCTAGGACTTCGCACTTGGATTTCTCCTCCTCAGCCTTCAGCCACACAGGTGCCAGATCCCTTTGTTCAGAGGCTGCCCCAGACACGCGCCAGCACTTTGTTTACACGTCTCACAGTTTAGCAATTGGACTATGAAGAGCACACCAAGAGAACTGATAGCGAGATCTGTCTTCGTGTGAGCTCTGCAGCCGGAGGGGAGCGGCTGGCGCGGCTCAGCCGCAGCTCCCGCGGGCACCGCAGCCCTTCCGTCCCTTCTGCGGCATCCGGGCACAGCCAGGCAGACGGCGCAGTCTTTGACCTGAGAGGCTTTACAACCACAGAGTAACTATTGAGTAGCAACGAGGGCGGCAAACTAGTGCTACAATTTTGTTTCAAATAAAATTTAGAGGATGGTAAGTTTCCATGCCAACAGACATGATCAAAGGTACAGTGACTCGGGTGATGCAGAAGTTACACACTTCAGTTTGACAGATAATTTGGCATTATTTTATTATGAATCTGAGTGAGCGTGAACGAAACAAAATCAGTACCAACTTTCTGCAAATGAAGACACAAAGATGTGAAAATTTGGTAATAGTGCTCTCACAAGCCTGAAAACACTTAGGAAATGCAAGTTTCCGTAAATAAGGTGAATGTGGTTTAACTTTATTTACCTGCCAAAGAATCTGTCTAAGAACACTTAAACATAAAATTTCTTAGCTCCCTAACTCATAAAAAAATTTACTTTCAACAGAGGTGAGGTACTGGGCTGTCATTGTTTACACTAAATTGGAAATGAAAGCCAGAGGAGAGGGACGAATAAGGAAATAGCAAATACACAAGACATTAAAACCAAGAGAGATCTACTGCTTGACACACTAGTTCTGAAAGGTTGCAAAGGCAGAGGCTGTATTAAAACTGAACTTAGGAGTATAGGCAACCACCTAGGTGTCAGGGTTACTTCAACTCAGCTTCCTGCACATCGAAATGATATGTGCTCCCAGATACTGATGGATCTCTGGAAATAATCCATTCACTCAGTAGCAGAGCCCAGCTGCAGAAGGGGAGACAGCAGGTTGACTGTGTGGCAGTTTGACTGTGGAGCTAGGATCACGCTCTGGGCTGGGGAGGAAAGGCAGCAGAAGCAGCAGAGACAGGCAAAGGATGCTCAGCTCTGAAGGGAAAGGCTCCCTCTCCTTTCCCTCAGCATGCGAGGAGCGCCCCAGGGCAGCCACAGGACGGCTCTGCCTGGCAAAGCTGATGGACTGACCACACTGAGCACTCACTGCAGCCCTGCACAGCTGATGGACTGACCACACTGAGCACTCACTGCAGCCCTGCACAGCTGATGGACTGACCACACTGAGCACTCACTGCAGCCCTGCACAGCTGATGGACTGACCACACTGAGCACTCACTGCAGCCCTGCACAGCTGATGGACTGAGCACACTGAGCACTCACTGCAGCCCTGCACAGCTGATGGACTGACCACACTGAGCACTCACTGCAGCCCTGCACAGCTGATGGACTGAGCACACTGAGCACTCACTGCAGCCCTGCACAGCTGATGGACTGACCACACTGAGCACTCACTGCAGCCCTGCCCCGTGTGCTGAACACAGCAGCAGCAGCAGCCAAGCACACTCTGCCCCACCTTAGTGCTCAGGCTGGCCTGGCAGCCGTGCTGGGGCTGGGAACAGCCCAAGGGCCCTCCCACAAACACAGACGCTCCTGACGCATTCTGAGGGAAAACGTTCAGAGAGGACAGGTCAGCAGTGCTGTCAGATTGAGTTCTTGAATTCAAAATTAACCTTTCCAAAATAATTATTTTAAATTCAAAAGACAGTTTGTAACTTTGGTACCTCTTGGTCCCCGATTTCTGGAACTCTCCTGAATTGGTTGCAATGTTGTTCTGTGCATGTTTCCCACTACTCTGCATAGGTATTAAAGATAGAAGTGAAGGAAGTTTGCAATCACGTTCTACTACTTGTTTGCTACAGACTTTTTTTCCAAAGTTTTCCAAGAGCAGAACTTAAGCCGTATTCTAATTCAATGATGCACACAAAAACTTGGATTTCCCTGTTTAATAGACATTGGCCAGATTTACATCAGACCCAGACATTATTTCTGATTGGTTTTGCGGGTTGGATTTTGTTTATTATGTTACAAACTGAAGTTCAGGGGAACTTGCAACAAGTCCCACAAAGCACAGTGCAACATTTAGAAAGAAAAGTAAATGAAACTGCCAAACACTCAATCATTTTCTGCCGGAACTGGGATATTTTTCCTAAGACATCACTTTGAGGAGGGGGTTAAAATTCAATGAATGAACTCAAGATAGTGGGAACTGCAAGGAAAAATAAGAAATGACAGCCACAACCTTTTCAATTTAAGGGCAGAATATAAGTCTAAGATATTTTTGATAAATTCTGACAAGAAAAAGAAAACAGCATACTTTAAAGTATATTGAAGCAGTGATTTTTAAACAAAGAAAGCAGAACTAGAACATCTTAAATTTTAATCCTTTCTTTACAGGTTACCTAGCCCACTTTTGATTAAGAAAACTGTAGAAAGTTAGTAACAGCCACAAGTTCACACCAAAAGGTGGCACTTGTCAATTTTCCATAGAGTCCTGCTTTACGGGGTGTCTCAAATGCACTGCTCCGATCTTCTATCATAGGTTGCTGACAGCACTTGTGTCAGATTTTAGTCCACTGGTCGCTTTTCACCATATTTCTTTGTAAACTCTTCAGCGTTCTTACAGAATTTTTTACGGTCCTTAGAGTATTCTTCAGCTAGGTCAGCCCGGAGGGGGTGCTCGGGCTGTGGATCATTCACCAGTGCTATGAGGGACTGGATTACTGTCAAAAGAAGTATAAACACCGTCAGAGACTTAGATGGGTCATTTTTCAAAATCAAAATGTAAGCAAAATTCCCCTGTAAGGAAAGAGCTTTAACTGCATTTAAATACATCCCCATAAATCTCGGGCCTTTTCAAGTGCAGGGCGTGAGTAAGCTGCAGTGATATGCCAAGATTTAGCTCAATGACCATGAATGAACACCAGAAAATCGTATTTGTAAACAAAATCAACATGAATGGAGACCAAAGTGCACTACAAATCATTTCCCATGTAATTGGCATCCCATCTAAAATCCTCTCCTATGGCTGAGAACGAACTGAAGTCCTCAGACAGGTTCCCTCCCTGAAGGGATTTGGTGAAGATGGAATTTGCACCATGAAGCATTTCCCAGCACCTGTCACAGGGACACAGCTGTGACCGACCCTCCTCTGGAAACCCTTTTTTCCAGCTTTATTTCCCTGTGATTCTTACATCTATGAACAGCAGGCATGTCTTCCCTTTACTCTCAACTTCCCAAGGCAGCCACCAGTAGAGATGTACTGGGCAAACAGCAGGGTGAGAGTGGCAAGGTGCTCACAGCAATGTCACCAATGTCCCTGTCACTTTCTGAAGAAAAGTCACTCTTCAGGAAATGGAAGTGCACCTGACATTTACACAGTGAACCTCACACCCCACAGTGCCACTCACTGCTACATTTTTCTCTGGGCAGGAATGACGTTCATACAATGATGGTCACTCCAGCAGATACTGGAACACCAGAGTGGCTTTGTTTGGGGCATTGATCCTCAAAACAAATACTCAAAGCCAAACTCAAATCCAACATTTGTCTCTAAACTGCAGAACAAAAGCATTTCTTAGCACAAATCCAAGTTTAAACTGCAACAAACTATCTAAGGAATGTAGAATTGATACCAGCTTCCTTCACAGTAACTCACCAGTCCTGCCTTACAGCAACTGCCATCACATTGCTGAAAACAGCAGAAACACTGAGGGGCAATCCCTTCTCACTGAGCAAAGCATGCAGAAACACTACAGAGGAAATGTGTGTTCAATAACCTTAGTAGCAGTAACAAGCCAGAAAACACAGGCCTGGCAGAACAGGAGCTGCCTCGATAGTCACAGAGTTTGAAAACTATCCTGCCATTAACAGTTGTTTTTAATATTAAGCAGAAATTAACAAAAAGTGCAGCAGTAAGATGTACATTTAGTATGCAAAAGGTAAGTTAGTGATTTATGATGAACTTAATTGCTTCATTTTTTTGACACCTGTGTGAGCAAAACCAATCACTTTGATGCTGTACTAATGATGCCACAATTACTTCATTGAGAAAAGCTAGGAGTGATTTTTCAGTGCAGAAGAAATCTGAAGGAAAAGGAATAGACATTTAAGCAGGGTTTTAGTAACACTGTCACAGGTTCATACAACCACGTAGTAACAACAGATGTTGACGTTAAAACAACTTGAAGAAAGAGTTAAGACAAACAAAAAACCACACACAACAGACCATGAGAGGTCTGCAATATTTTGATAGTCAGGATTGGTTCCAAATTCTGATTTTAGCACAGCTTTTATTTACTCTCTCAGATAAAAAGGGAGTTGCTACTTCTCAGGGAGACACTGGCTATTTTCTGCATGCAAACAATTGTTTCAGTAGTTCCAGCTAATGACAGCTTGTTTTTCAAGCTGGGTAGAGACATGTAAGTTCTTTAGTTAACTAGCAAAGGCTGATAGCACCAAGACAGCTGCTCAGGTGTGGAACAGAACAGAAACCTTCCACATGTTCTTTCCATCTCCTCTCTCCTGAGGGCCTTTGTCCTGTAAAATCAGGGATAAATCTACAACAAATCCAAGCTCTCAGCAGTCCTATTTCACAGGCTCTCTCTGCTGCCACCTCCATATTCACCAACATTCAGCTGCTTCATCTCTTCTAAAACAACTGCAATTCTCCTGTTTTGTCTTTGGGCAAGATCACACAACCAGAAGTACCTTCTTTAGCACACAGGGATAAACAGAAAAAGGTATCTTAAGTACAGCATTGTTTCCTATCAGGAACACAGATCATGTGAAAATAACCTTTAAGAAGAGCCCGGAAGGGGAAAGTATTTTCTCTTATGGAACAAGATACTTCAGTGTCACTGGAGCTCTAGCACTGCCCTAAACTGCTACTCATTTGAATTAATACTCTTTAAAAATAAGCATTTTTTGCAAGGATGTTTGCTTTCTATATGTATAATAACAAAAGCTTAATACTCAACTAATTATCACCTGCCAGACAACACAAAGTTCTCACCCCAACAACTGATGCAAGCAACAACAGGAAGAAACCTACTTATATTACACTTAAGTCTGCCACAGAACTTGACAAAACTTTTTTCCTTACAATATTTAGATTCTTTATCAAAGACACTCTACACAGCAAGCCTGACAGCAATGATCTTTTAAGTTTACAAGTTAATCTGTAGTATCATCTCAGATTTTGTTTATGACTCCCATGATATTTCAAGCCATATGTTCAAATCACTGAACCACATGGCACATTATAAAATATACAGAACCTTGAGGTTTTAGACCTTGCCTTTCAAACATCCAGGAATTTACTGAACAGCTTTGGATTCTAAAGTCGCTGTTTAAAAAGAAACACAGCATAACCCCCACACGAACCACCAGCAAAATTTTAAAGTATGCTGAGGACACTTCCTTAATAAACTCCTTAGTCATGAAGACCAAGAGTTTTGTGGTTTCCTGGAGGTGGAAATGCCACTTCAGTGCCAGCACCTCCCATTCCAGTAACAAAATGAGGTTCCACAAGTTGCACTCTGTGCTCAACACGTGATTCATGACACAAACCTTACAATGAATATATCCTCAGAGCATTGGGAAACTGACAAGTAAAACATTATTAGCTTTAAATTCAAACACCACAAAGTTTCTCAATACCCAGTTCTTGCTCCACATGGAGTCCTACCTTGGTCAGTTTTGGTTGCTGGCTTCCAGTTTTCAGCACTAATTACTGGCAGACAAACCTGCCCCTTTTCATCGATGTTAGGGTGATAGATCTTTGTTTTAAATGTAATCTTAGGAGGTTTGAATGGATATTCTGCTGGGAAGTTGATTTCAATTCTGAAGGCTCCTTTATCATATGGAGGATTGTCCTGCAACAAGAAGGCAGAGTGTCAAGAATGTGGCACATGCTAATGGACACAAGTGAAAAGCAGCATCTACAGACTTGGATTTCATTGATCTCTTCAATGACCTCTCTGAAAGGCATTTTACCAACACTACTGCCAGGTTTATGTGTCAGGAAACATCAAAACCCATGTGAGAGGCAATACAAGCTGCAAGTTTGCATCCACCCTGGACAAAGCAGGTTGCCATTGTCCTACATTTCTGACATTTCCATGGGTAAGAAAGCATCCAGCTCCATTTACATCCAACTCAAGGCCCTCTCTAGTAAGTAGTTTTATGTTTCAAAAAAACATAGTAAAGCCCTTCCAAGACACAAACAGCAAGCCTGACAAGGGAAGTGGGTTTTTGAACAGTTATTCTGTGTGTCTCACAACATGGTGGCATGAACAGCAAAGCAATTTGGTTTGTCAGATCTCCCTAAATGTTTCGAGAATGTTTTTGTGCTGACTACACAAAAATCTGCTGAGCATTCATTGGTACTAAAGATAGATATTCACTGTGTTTGCTGATGAGAACATTCTGAATTTGTATGCAGTTTTAGCACCCACTCTTATCAGATCAGTTTTGAAGGAGCAGGATGAGAGATCTGTGAAGTGAGCAAAGCAGTTCTTCATGCTGAAACAGAAAAAACAATGCCCAGAATTTCACTAAGAAAAACCTGTTAGACTATTGATACTGATGCTTCAGATACTGCACAAGAGAGGCAGAACAAAAATAAACCACTGCTACATTTAAAGCCTATGAAAATACCATTCTGCACTGAAAACAGTAACTATGGAATGAAGCCTTTCCAAACACAAGAACAAGAATCAAAGGATGAGAGTTCCCAGTTGGTGTAAAGTATAATCACACACATTCTTCATTAGCAACCAGACCCTTCCCTGCAATCAATTCTGCTCCAGAATTTATCAATACTTGGGGGTGGGGAGTGTTCCATTAAAATATTTGTCAACAGAAAACATTTAATTTTAGGCTCACCCATGTGAAGAATTTGGCTGTGTGTTTGTAAGAAATATAGCACAGTTTCTGCCAGGGGGAGAGGCAACTACAGTGGCTTTAAAATCACTTTTTACCCAAGCAATCCTAAAAGCTTTGGAAGTTGAACTAATAACTTGTGGTGGTGGTGACAACTTAGGCAGTCTCTGCCCTCTTCCCCCATAGCTCAATTGTTCTTTCCTCATCATGTGCTGTAATTTGTGAGGATGTTCACTGAACTGACACAAGAAGTGACCTCCCTTAAAAACATCCATTTTTTTCACTGTGCCTCTTACATGGACAAGGAGCCTGGGCTACAGTCTTGTTTTGATGTTGAAATCAAACAAACAGTGTACCTTGGCCACCCACAGGACACAAACTACTCCATTCTACAATTTAGAGCAGGAAAAGAAGTTGACAGGCTATCTTCAATTTGCGTCTCAATTGAGTGAACACCCTTAAAAACTAACATTTGTTCTGAAGAGCAAAATATGTTACAAACAGGAGCTTTTAAAGCTCTACAGCTCACCTTTACATTATCTTTCACAGTAATTCTGTGTGAACACTATTAAAAATAATAAGCATTATCTTTCACACCTTTGTTAAGCAGCTGACCAAGAAATGCCCAGTTACAGCATTTAATAATCAGTAACTGGTTAGTCCTACTGAAGTAACAACAACTGCTCAAATGGTAACAGCATGGGAAGCAAAAACACAGAGAAAAAAGTTTAACTTTCAATAAGCTCATGTATTGCATTTATAAGCCATCAACTCTGGTACCAAAAATAGCTAAAGAGAAAGTAACACTAAGACATCTATAGCATAACCTCAGAATAAAAACTTCCACTACTCTTTGAACACAAACAACCAATTTGAAATTACTATAGGAAGTGTAATTTCATAACAAAATTCCCCCTTAACTATACCAGCAGGGAATTTGAGGCTATTTCCCCTGTAACAGGACATATTACAAATCAAAAGGCAGGTCTGGAGCACAGTTCACTGCACCAGCATTTAAACACTTGTGATGCTGCAAAGCTCTGCAAAACAAACACCATGCTCATCCTCAGTCGAGCAGAAACTGTTAAAAATAGCTGCTGTACACCACACATTCCTAATCTTAACAGGAGTAAACAAGTATTTTGTTTGTTTTGTTTTATTAGTCATATTTACCAGCCTTATACTGCTTCAAAGTGTTATCAAAGCACTAAACTGTTACACATGAACCACAAAGTGACTGATTAAAGGGAGTTGTTCCTCAGCTCTGTCAAATTTCAGTGTCAGATCCCATTTGCTTTGTTTGCAGGAGCAGTGTCAGCCACTGCAAGGAATCACTTGCAGGCAGGTAAATAAACAGCAAACTGAATGTATTCCACAGCATTTCAAGTGGAACCACCCAGCCATTACCTCAGCCTGTGCCATGTGAGCTCCAGAGCAGCCTCTGACTAAGGAGGCACAGGCACTGCAGAGATGGCTCCAAGTGTTACTCATAGAATAAAAAGACAGACTTACACTGCTTGGGGAGCTTTCTGGCACCACCCACAGAAAACCACAACTGCTGCCCCCATGGCCCATCCCCTATTGCTGCAGACTAAAAATAGCTCCTAGAACCAAGCCAGCCATTTCCCACTGCTATGGGCCACAGCTGTGGGAAACACAAGAGGTGAAAATCCAAGCGACTTTCAACCAAGAAATCAACACATCATATTTTCTGCTTTCCCCTTCATAACAAATCCCTCTCTACTTGACTAATAAAATGGTTACCTACTTCAATCAAACATGCTTTAAGAAGACTGCAGTGCTTTAAAAAAAAATTAAGTAAAATAAGTTTATTTTGGCACTAACTAATGCCTAAACAAAGATACTACTTTCTTTTTTAAAGAGCTCACTTGAGAAAATCCAAACCTTTTCCTTGCATCAAATTTTTCCCAATACCCAGTTTTACCCTAGTAATAAACCTAGTAAATTTAAAAAAAAATACATATTAAGGAGTAAAAGTATTTCATACATCCTTTGTTTTTCCTGTGATCATGTAGATTTTTTATTTTAGGCTTAATGTAAAACCAAACTTCAGTGCTTCCCCTTCCAACACCTCTCCCAGCAGCCCAGTGCCACCACAGAGCCCCAGCCGTGTGTCAGCCCAGGCCCACAATAACGAATTATTTCATGGTCACCAGCAGCACTACTGAGCTATGGATTTATGAGATACAAATGATCCTCATTTTATTTTAAAGCTCATAAGGAACAGTCTATACTCACAGGAACAATAAGCCCTTGCCAGGTCAATAAATTAGCTTCATCAACCTGGATATTACGGAAGTTTTTCATTCCACATTTGCGAATTTCTTCAAGCTCCTGAAAAGCAAAGCAAAGTGTTAAGTGGAAGTTAATAACTGCATTAAGCAAGATGCTCACATTTATTTTTCAAAATGCTTAAAGGTCAATGTGATTTTCTTTAATTAGTGGTGTGGCAACCCACAGAAATAAGAAATAAAATTCTGCACCTGTAAAAAGTAAAATTCTCTGAGATGAGATACTAAAACTCTTATTTTCTGATATATGAGGAAAACACAAAAATGTCTTGTTATTAACATCATTATAGACACAATGAAGCAGGAGATTAAAAAACTACATTAAAAAATGTCCTTGTATCTCAAATGTAAATCAGTGGCTTTGGTAACAGACTATTAACAATACTGTGAGGTGCAGAAATAAAATGCATCTTAGGGCTTGTGTGAAGCAGAGCAGTGATTTGGAAGAACTATTTCATAATAGTTTTAAACAGGGATAAAACCAAGGAACGGGCCAATTATTTCAACTGAAAATGAGCAAATTCCTGCATGAACAGCTTAAATTGATCCAAACCCAGAAAAATATCAATCAAGCCTTGTTTAGAGCAGTAACTTGAAAAGATTCAGCTTTCTCTCTGTTTAGTACCTCAAAGCTCACAGTACACATTAGGATTCCTCTCTTTAAAGCTGTATCAGTCTTGAGCAAGGTTATCTCTCTGCACCAGTCAAACTATTTTAATCAGTTTGTGAACCAGGTATCACCAAAATAAGTATTTCAGCATTTTTGTATTTAAAATGACATATAAGCCCTACTGTAGGGACTGCTTGCTGGAGTATTTCATAAGACCTCAAAAGAAACACCTCAAGGTTCCACTTTTATTTCCTCCACAACAATTACAGTCCTTTGTGGTTGAACTCTGCCATTTTATCTTTAAAGAGAGTTTAATGAAATATGAATTCAAAAATCATCCACAGCAAAACATAAAAGTTTCCCAGTGCTTTCAAAACTGCATCACATGCCTGGTGGCTGCATAGGTTAGGAAAAATGTTGCTTATACAGCAGCACTAGGGTGCTCTGACAGTGCTCAGCTCTGCACTGGCTGCAGGTGTCTTGCAAAATTAGGCTGGATATAATTATGATAAACCCACCAATTAAAAGCAAAGACACTACACAAGGAAAAACAAAACCAATCAGTTTTCCTGCTACAAGTGCTGTCCGTGGTTTGCCTTCCAAAATAGCTCTATGTTCATCTTGGACCAAACCTTCCTGCACCTGACTGGCAGATTTCATACTTGCAGTAACCTCTTGCACAAATTCAGCATCATGATAAAGTTCAAACCCAAAGGGAAAACGAGAATTCCAAATGCATGTGAAACAAAAATCAGGACAGTCACAGCCCCATATCAGTAAATGAACATTTATATTCCTGCCCACTGCACCTACTGAAGCAAGAGCATACTCTGAGCACAGAAGTTTAACCTTGGAGCCTTGGATACTAATTGATGCCTAACACTATCTTCATGACACTAACACTGACTTCTTAGTCTAGACCCATGGATTAATCCCAAATTCCACTGCTGCTCGATTTATGCAATGTCACAGACAGTTTGGGTGGTTTTTTTGAAGAGCTAAGAGGATTATCCTATTTCCTTAGAGCAGGAAAACATAACCCCCCCCAATAATCCCATGAGTCATATTTATAGGGATAGAGAGCAAACCAAAATATTCAAAAGACAATAACCTTTATGATTGCAGCTCTAGAGGTGCTTTACCATCACTCAGAGTGCAAATCCCCACGGTGCCCTGCTGTGAGTGCTCCTGCACAAAGCAGCAGAGCAGGGAGAGCCGGGCGGGTCCTGACAGGGGCAGGGGCCTGCTCTGAACTGAGTTTGCTGCTCACTCCTGTCACACACAGACCTGTGAGGTGCTGGCAAAGCACTGCCCACAGCAGCCAAAGGATCAATTCCACTCCACACTAAATGTAACATACCAAACACTGGGAACAACATAAGCTAACCAAGCAGTAGGTATTTAAGCATGAAGAAACGTGCATCATCACAAGTGCCTTCATTCTAAAAGAAGACAAGGAAAATGGGTTTAGACTATTTTCTAGTTACTATAGTAAAAACATTATGCACATGACAGAAATCTCCCCCATTATGCCCAGTGGGACTGCAGCTTCCAGGAGCTTTTGTCCCAGGTTCAGACAACAGCATTGTACTGCTGCTGGCCCAGAGAACAATTGTCCAGATGCAAAAAAAAAGGAAGGACTATGACTCTGTAATTCAGGTATGCTATTAAACTAATACAACAAATCAGAAAAGTGTAGCTTCACATTGCTGGAAAATTAAAGACCTACATTTTATAGTTAGATTCAGGTTGAAAAATTGTATGGTGAATTAAGAAATGCAAGAATGCCATACAGAGATAATTGTAAAATTGTAAAACTTTGTATGCCATCAGTGAAAAGTTAAAATAAATATGCGAATTGTTTCCCACTTTTTCTCAAGCCCACCATATGAGAGAGGGAATTAAACAGTACAGAGGCACTAAAGAACTAAACAAAAATTATTCAGGCCATCTTCCTCTTTAAAATGTCATGAGAGGCCTTTGCAGGAAACCACTTCCAAAAGCAAAGCTGTGGTAATGAGTGGAGTGTGTCAGGCCTGTGCTGTGCCCTTCTCCCGCGGGAGGAGCTGACAGCTGTGCAGGGACAGCCGGGGATGAAGGGGCAGCAGCAGCTCCGTGCCTCACACGCAGCCAGGGCTGCAGAGGTCAGGGACAATGCAGCCACCTCAGCAGGGCACGCACCTGAACCACGGCCCTAGACAGACTGAAATTTGCACTGGAAATTACTTTTCCTATCCTAGGAGTGCTTCAGAGAGTCACTCCAAGTGAATCGGCTCCATGCTGGAGTTCCTCACAAAGAGCTTTTCCCCACAAGGGCAGTGTAACACTACCCAAGCCCTGCTGCTCTCAGGAGTGGTAGGACCTTCACCACACACAATTTAAGGCTGTGAGGGGAGGTTGTTTTGGTTTTTTTTCCTTCTGGCAACTGCCAAAACCCATAATAAAGATCTAACTGCCTCAGGGCTACGCAGGCAGACACTGCAGTATAGGAGTACTGTTAAAAAACCGAATGAGCTACCAAATACTTTCAAGCAGCACAGATTAAAAGCTAACAATACCTTTAACGCGGGCTTGAGCAACTCCAAAGGGACCAAAACTACTTTGAGGTAAAAAGATACAGTCCAGATATTTATTTCAAAGTAATACTTATGAGTCTAGGCAGACAGTAAATAGATTAATTCCTTTTCTTGTCCTCCACCCCCTAATTTTGTCAAGTAACATAATTAAAGGAGCACAGGAGGAGAGTAACTAAAGGTTGGATGACTGCAGTAAGAATTTAAATCAATCTTCATTCCCCACTCCTTTATCAACCTTGCATGTGACCTTGCTGCATTGGTTTATCCACTTGAAAAACTGAAATGTCTGAATGTTCATAGGGCTCTCTTGGGACATGATGTTTGTAATTTGGAAATGTTCAAACAAAGTGTTATACACAGCACATGAAATGGAGAAAACAGTTTCAGAGGTGGCACCTGATCCTCAAGCATATCATGCTGAAGGTAGTCATAAAAGTACATACTACTTCTCATATATTAAAGGTTTAAAATTGTAATTTTCAATACTGTGTAATCATTTGGGCTGTTCAAATCAAAAATTAAATGTTTTAAAGTAGAAAGAAAAGTGGCACCTATGTAGCTAAATCTTTAAAATGTAACTAAATCTTTAAAAAACCCTGTAACTGTTTTGTCCACTCATCTTTCAAGTTTTGGGACTTGTCTATAAACCCAAGCCAGATAGGAAAATGCAGTGAAGGCAAATACTTGTAAGAGTACAATCCCAGAATATGGGAATAAGTGTAAGAGCTCATACTGACTTGAGTAAGTTCTGCATCAAGCCCAGAATACTATTAAATTCACAAACAAAACCAAAAGCCTCCTGAAAGAACCCAAAATCATTATTACAACTTATATTTATCTGTTTATGAATGCATTCTCTAAAAAATGCCTGTAAGTTAAAAAAGCTCCAAAACACTGATCAGGAACTGGCTAGTTTCACTTTCTGCATTAACAGCACAGAGAAGTCTTAAAACACCTTAAAATCTGATTCTACCACACAAAAAAATCCATCACAAATCCAACCCAAAACAGAAATAGAATTTAGTTCTTTTAAGAATCAGCAGTAAGTTTCCTTTGCAACATTACAACCCTGTATACTCATGTCTTATTGACTGAACAATTCTACTTTTTGGCAAAGTATTTTATTTAATTAAAAATCTTTTTGTCAATTCCCAGTTTCAAAAAGTGAAAATGCATCCATATTCTCACTTCTGCCTAAGGACAATCATATGTTGCTCAAAACCATATTTCCCTTGCTACTAAGAACTGAAGTTTGGATCAATTTATCATTATTTTTCAAGTATCAGAGTTGTTTAAAATCCCTTTATTTGGGAGCACTACAGTGTTTACAGGACCACAGCATCCTGGAGATTGCAGGACACCTACCTGGGTGTGGTCCCATGTTTGTGTTTTATCATGGAGGAGTTCAACAGTTGCATAAATGTTTGACTATGCAACTATGGAAGCAGAGTAAAACCAATAAAGTTAAAATAATTGTCAACATATCTCACTTCCTATGTGAAGTGTTATTTACTCTTTAAATCCATTTTCAATTTCTATCACTAAAGATCCTTTTGAACATCTAAACTGCAGGGAACCAAGGCATGGATCTCACAGACAGCTGAGCTGCATCCCTGGCAGTCCCCATGGAGGCCCAGCTCCCTCTGGGGCAGCAGAGCCTTCTCCAGAAGCACCCAGACCCCCGTGGGACTGTGAGTGTCCAGCACAGAGCAGCCCTCCCTGTGCAGCCCTCACTGCCTCCCTCCCCACACAGCCCTGGATCCACAGCAGGAACGGCCTCTTCTATCAGAGTAGGTGGCACCTGGGCACAGCCTCCTCTTGAGGTCACTGGCCTGGTGTTCCCCGTCACAGAGCCTGAGACATTTTCCTTTCTATGAGAAAGGGCCATGAAGCCCAGTGCCCTCTCCAAAGAGAAGCCTTACATCCTCTCCTGATATAATCACTCCATATTTGTGTGTTTTAACTCTGACTGTCCACAACACCACATCCTTGACAAAGCCTGCTTCATTCCACTGCTCACATTTCACAAGGAGCAGGATTCAACAACTGGGGCTCTTTGAAAAGGTGTAATGGTGGCTCACAGATCAATGTCACTGGAATATGAGTCATTAGCCATGTTTATTTCACGTTTTTGCTATGCTGAGTGCACTCCTGGAAGGGCACACCTCCATGGAGCTGCTGTGAATCAGGGGACAAGACTTCAGTGAGGTGGCACCATTTGATGGGATAAAGCTCAGCAAAAAGAGGCCATAAAAAAGGTCTTTGGCCTAGGGAAGGTGATTTGTTTAAACACACCCTCAGATAACAAGCCAATCTTGCTGTCTTTATAACCTGAATACCTGTTTAAAATTGGATGGTACAAGTTCAATGTACCAAAATTGGTAATGCTTGTTTCACACAGAGGTCTGTGAACTGAAGATGCAAATGGCTTCCCCAAGTGGGAAAGGGCATCCATTCCCACTGGACAGTGGACATGACCCCCAGTTTTCTACAGGCAGCCAGTGAGTTATTATGGATGTACTGCATCCAGTCTCTTTGAGCCATGGTGATTAATATGAATAACTATGATGCATGACTTGAGTCCAGAAAAAATGCAGTACTTCAAAATGTTGGCAAGACCTTAAGGAAACAGGAATTGCTTAATTTTATATAGCTATGAAAGGTTTAAGGTTTAGTCTCATTTATCAAAGACAAGCTTGATTATTTAGCTCTAAGAAAAGACAGTTAATGCTTATCCTAAATTATTTTAAAGGTAATTGACTGACACAGTGAAAAACCCTATTTCCTTTAGTTATAATCACTCATCATTCCAAGACCCTGACAAAGACACCCCAAAGACTCTTCCCAATTGCAAAACTTCAACAGTGAAAGACTTTGATTTAAAGTAGACCTGAGAACATGGGACTTTAGCAGTGATATTAGGCTGATACACACGTGAGCCTGGACCTTCACATCATGCTGCAGCAATCCCGATGACATCATCCCTACGAGAGCTCCACTTTGTTCCTGCCGAGATGAATGGCAGAGCCAGAGCCTCCTGGGCTGCCTCCACTCCCCGGAGCAGGAAGGGAGCTGCTGATTTAACAGCCTCTGCGAGCTGTGGGACACAGCAGCCCACGGCTCTGCAACTGCATAAAACCCACACAAACACGAGCAACCCACGGGCATTGGGCAACAGAAACAAAAGTGAAAATAGAAGAGGTAAGTTATCAATGTCTCCTGCATTCCCACACCACTCCCTCCAAAAACAACTGCCACACCAATTTTTGAGAAAATAAGGTCACATTATCAAAACTCCTTTTTAGTGTATTTTAGTGTAAGACTGAAATTCTAATGTTTCAAAAGTATAGTAAAAATGAGGAGGGAGGCTAAAAAGCAAGAGGCATTGAAAATACTAAGAACCATTTTTCTTGCCTTTGAGATTTGTATTTTAAATAAACAACAAAAAAAGAAGAAAATATATATGATTCTTAACAGAGTAGTGATGTGCTTTTGAACAATTAATGTATTATTTCAGAACAGAAAGAAAAACTTCCTTACAAAACCAGTAAACAACCATTTAATCTTGTCTGAAACTAAGGGAAACCTTATTTGAGTATGAAGCAACAGACATGGTGATTATAAAACTAAAGCCCAGAGAAAACATAGAGCTATCAAAAATGAAGTAAAAAATGAATTCCATCTCACCAGGATCCTTAAGACAATTAAAGGTTTATACCTACTGATTTTTAATACATATGAATGACACTGCATACAATCTAGCTACTATTTAATTTTGAAATGCTCCATAGAATATTTAAACCAACAAAATGAGTCTTATAGAGGCACTGCTGAGCTATTGGTTTCCTCTAAAATACCCAAG